ATGGCAAGTGGGCTCAGGCACATAGCGTTCCTATATATAGGGGAGGGGACAATCTGGTTAATCAAGGGGAGGGGGAGCATTTTTAAATTTAGATCCAAGTATTTTATATATTCAGCAACATCATGTGTAGTGTAAAAGTGTACTGAAGCAGCTGAGCTGGGTAGAATTTTTAATGTTTTTCTTGATTGGGGGTGAGCTGTGTGATCTATATTTTCAACAGCTTTACATATTATTTCATGGTGTCTACATCTGAAAACCAAATTGCCTCCATAGGTTTGGGGGTATGTCTTTTGAGAAAGAATTGAGAATATCTATTTCTAGAGAGAGTTTCTTCCAAGGAAATTTAAAGGCATTTCAAAGACTATGGTCATCACAACTAACTTAGCACATTGGAACGTTTAGGCAAATATTCTCAATGAAGATGATTCTGGAGCTTGAGTGGAGCAAGCAATGGTGTCACAGTGAAGACTCTTTGGGAGCAACACCAGCTTTACGTAACTCTGGACAGGAAGACTGCATCACTTTGCAATTCCGTTCTTTGGATCCTAATTTATTTATTTTTTAAAAAATGAAAGTTTGCAGGCTGAGGAGATGGCTCAGTGGGTAAAGATGTTGTGGCACTGATGTAAGGACCCAAGTTTAAATTTTCAGAATCCACATAAAGCCAGACCTGGCAGCATAAATCTGTAAATTTAGCACTCCTACAGTGGGATGGGAGGCAGAGTCAGGAGCATCCCTGGAAGCTCATGGTCCAGCCAGAATAGGTAGTTCAGAATGAAACAACAAGAGGAGGTGAGGACTCGTACCCCAAATCTAAGTGCCTTATCCTCTCTCTAGTAGGAACACTCTGGTGTTGAGGGGACATTGAGTTGGTTTTCCTAAACAAAGGAAAACTGTGTTTTTTCCTAAACACACAAAAAAGGACTTGTGTTCATTGTGATTTCCTAGTATTGGTTTCATCCTAAGTTAGCACTCCTTCAAAATGACTGGGAGTAACATAGTTAGTGACATGCCTGTCATCCCAGCTCTAGCTACAAAGAGAAAGTTACTTCTTGAAGTTGTCTTAGATGAAAGAAAGACATCTTTCCAAGAGATATTTGCAGTCCTGTGTTTGCATATCCTTGGTAGGCCCAAATTGACTTTAGTTCCCATCTCTACTCATGACCAGGGACTGGGTCTTCAATGTGTTATAGGAGAGACTACTAAAACCACAGCTAACTAAGCAGGGGAATTGTATTAACATGAGTGAAAAATCAAGACAAGAGATATATTTAAAGGAAGCAACCTTGAAATTGGATAGACATTCCTTGGAACACATATTCTTCACCTATTCTATGCACTTAAATAAGATCCAGGAAAAAACATGATAACAAAATAGAGGTTTTATATAATAGCTATTACCATACAAAGCACATAGTAAGCATTCAATAAATATGCCTACATTGGGCTAGCATTACATCTGTTAAACATTGCAAATGTATTTTTTAGTTGGCAACTAATTAAAAAGAAATTGCAGGTATTCCTGGTGTTGCCATAGTGACACAAAATCTACCAAAATAAGTTTTTGTTTTAGCACAGTGGTTTTCAAACTTGGCTACATATTGGAACTAACTAGGGAGCTGTGAAAAATACTATTGCCAGAGTCTCCCATCCAGAGATGATAATTCAATAGATCTCAGGATGGGGTCTTGGGACATGGAGGTAGGTACTGCATCCCTTACTGAAATTCACTGCCAGGCCTGAAGACCTCTAGCTTAGGGAATATGAGTATGGCCATTTCTTTCTCTTGAGCAGTGCCCAGGATTTCCTTGACTTTCTTTTACAGCACTCTTTCCCTCTGTTCTAAACTAGTAACGGCTAGATTCTCCTGTCTGAGCTGGCACTGTCAGAATTACCACACACTCTCCATTACAGTATGAAAAATGCTGAATGTGAGGGTGGAAACCGAGAGTGGGGAAGGCCCACTATCAATATGGCGTGTGAGAAGAAAGGGATGAAAGGAGAGGAAAGAGAAAGTGAGAAGGGAGGCAATGAGCACTTCCTTCTGGTGCTGGGATGTGGTTGGAGAGGCACTTTTAGGCACTCTGAGTCTCAGCATCCCACACGAACACCCATGCTCACACAGACACATCATCTGAAACTGTTGCCAGCCTCCTCCCGCTCACCCCACTGCCAACCACTCACTTAGCATCTTCCTGAGAATTTATAAAACATCTCAAACATGAATAAATGAGAAGTGACTGAGTTTGTTCATTCATTCACACATTGATTTATTCGTAGTTTCTATAACTATTGATTGAGTACCCACTATGGAACAGGGAGCAAACAAGCAGCCATGATTGCAACAGGAGCTTTCAGATTTTACCAAAGCCATGAATTTGGAAAGCATTTGGGGTATTGAACCTGGGTATGATGATCTACCATCTTTTCATGAGTTCTTGAGTTCAAGTCTCTGGACATTGCTGAATGAATGGGTAGTTGAATAAATTAATGAGAGAAGGTGGGAATAAATGGAGAGTGATGAGTAGGCAGATGGGTAGGGTGGAGTAAAATGATATTAGATTGAAAATATGGAGGAATGCTGTTTCGTGTCTTCTGATCTGTGGTTTTAAAACAATCAAATAGACCTGGGCTTGGTGGCACATCCTACAGCCCCAGCACACAAGAGGCAGGGACAGGGAGAATCAGACCAGTCAGTGCTACACAGTAGGATAATTGTCTCAAAACAAAAAGAAATCCTACCTCGGATGTCATTATATTCTATGCATATTGGAAGGTAATGCATATTTGCAAGCAAGGAATGATGGGGTTAGAGAAAGTCTATACCCGAGGTGCTAAAAATCAACTTGGGTAAAGAATAGGATGCTATAAAGGTAATAAAATGTGTAAATGCTTTGTATCAAGAAGAATGTGATACATTTGAGGGGGTGAAAGGTATTGTATAGATGGTATAGATTTGGGCAGCAGGCTCAGGACACAGAGCAGTAGACACTAATGCAAATGGAGGTAGCATTGACTCTCAGGGATATTAGGAACAGTGCCTAGTGGAGATTTTGGGGGCCAAGTGAAACTCAATGGAAAAATGACCTACAAGTACCAAGTCTAAAGAATTTGAGTTGGGAGAAGTAAAGTAGAAGGGGGGCATTGGTTGAAAATAGAAGAGAGTGTGTTGAATGGATGCTTCAGTTGAATTTGCAAGGGTTAAGAGAAATGAGAAAACATTCTAAAAGTCTGAGGAAAAATCGTACAATATTTTAAAAAAATCTTTAAAACAAAGAAATGCATTATCAAGACTAACAGCGTACCAGGCATCCTGGTCATCATCTTGCAATTATTCCCTCCATATAGGGTCAGAGTTGTGCATCTGCACAGGTGGAGGTATAACAGTATAATCAGGCTCCGGAGATCTTTGGTCATCTCTATCATCTGTCTTACTGACCATGCCAACAATAAAGAATTAAAAGGAAGAAGACACAAGGAAGGAGCTGGTAGTGAGGTTCAGCAGAGGACAGTTTGTCTAGCAGGTGTGAGATCTTGGTTAAAATATACATTTAAAAGAATTTGTCCTATTACTGGAAGTTGCATAGTTCCCAGAATTAAAATTGAAACCAGACAAAAGAGAATAGATAATATTGAAAGGAAACTCAGAAGAAAACTTTATTTTTAAATAAATTTTAACACAGTCAATAAATTTGAACACAGTCAAGAAAAGTTAATAGGGTTTCTTCCCTAGAAGGGGAAGGAGATGAGGGACTTTTGCTGGTGTTAACAATTAGGAGCATGTAGAGAAACTTTCTCCTTGTTGGCTCTGAGTCATCAAAAGTAAAAGCAACCATGTTAGAAATAACCCACATATATGGACTATTTAGAAAAAGAAAAGGTTTTTTTTTTTTGGTATTGGTTAAGATACCATTGAAGGAAGAATTACTGATTTGTAAAATGCAATATCCCAAGAAAAAAACTTACAAAACTTATTTGAAATGGTTTTACTCTTGTCAAGAAAGGGTTTCAGTGTGTACCATGGCATACTTGGTACTCATTACATAGTCTAGGTTGACCCCAGGATTGATAGTATCTTCCTGTCTTAGCATATAAGTGCTGGTATTAAAGGAATGTGTCACTATACCTGACTCAGTATAGCCAATGTTAAAAGTTCAGTATTTAGAAAAGTAAGAAATCCAATAGATATGCTTAGAAAAGTGTTAGGTACATGCACATCTATATGTGCATGCTGCCAACCTTGCTGTGGTGCATCAGAGATGATTTCAAATCCTCCATTTAGATCTTGAGTTTTCTACCTTTCTAAAATGGTGAGTATGTGTGACATGAACACAGAAAGAGAGGCTATTTAGGGGCAGGAACAGCACAAACAAGTGGGGGAAAGGCTGTATGGGGGAGCGCAGTTGGGGGAGATTCATCATATATATGTATGAAAGTGTCACAATAAAACTAAAAAAATTAATTCTAACTAAAGAGATACTAAAAAAGAAAAACTTGAGTATGCATTTTTATAAGTAGGAAAATTATAAATATATGAAACTATAGAAAATGTTACAGCTTTGATCATAAAGGGATTATCTCCTCAATATTTGTTGCCCTTGCCTTGTTATTATTCTAATGTTTCCTTGTGTGCCTCTCCCTTTCTTCTGTATATCTCTCTTAGCTTATGGGTAAAGGATGGGGCATTACTCAACTCTAAGCCTTAGCACTGTGATCTTTCCTCCTGGTCTCGACAGTAGCCCAAGGAGGGATACTGACTCAAACTAACCTCTTGAGACATGAAATGATTTTCTGTAGAAGCTAAAATGGAGAAATTCTTGTTTATGTGGCTTAGCTCAAAATAACCCCTTTTCTTGCCATTGCCTGTATAGATTTAAGGACCATAGCTGACTAATGGCTGCTGTATTGAAAAGCACAGCTCTTCTATACACCAGCAAGGTCAAGGGGAGCACAACCTGTGCCATCAATAATTGGCAACAAACTAGAAGATCTTGAATTACCTGAGAGTAGCTGCCATGGTTAGTCTTGCTAAAAACTCATGTCACGGATGAGGAAGCACAGACCTCAGACACCTGTTAGCAGTCCTGATTCATCTGTGATGAGGAGACTACCTTGGAACTGATATCCTGAAAGGCAAAGAGATAATTAGAAATGAGACAGCTAGGTCTTTGACAGCACAATGGAATTGCAGAAGCAAACTCACCTGGAGTTGAGCTCACTTGTGGGCTGTCAAACACTAAGAACCCATACATCTTTATTATTTTCATGTTTGAAATGGTGGTTTTTTTCTTTTGCAAATAGCAATCATCATTTACAACCTACATCCTTCTTCTGTGTCATTAGCATCTTGGAAGATTGATGTCTTTGTCTGCTTGCTGCTCCTATAACTGAATGCAGTAGACTGGGTAATTTATAAAGAATAAAGGTTTAATCAGCATGTGGTTCTGGAGGCTGCTTGGTCCAAGATCAAGGTACTGTATCTGGTGAAGGTCTGAAGGTCTTCTTGCTGAGGGGAGGGGGAGGAAATCTGCAAAATTCTGACCTGCCAGAGGCTATTATATTATGAGAGGGATACAGGGATACATGCAAGAGACAGAGCTGGCTTTTGTAACAACCTACTTTCAAGATAATACACTAACTCATTCATCCATTGTTCCCTGGATGGATTAACCCACTTATAGGGGCAGAATCTCTTAAGACTCCTACCTGACCTCACCTCTCAATACATTTAAATGGGGACTTTGCTGTTTTTTTTTGTTTGTTTTTTTGTTTGTTTGTTTGTTGTTGTTGTTTTGTTTTTTGAGACAGGGTTTCTCTGTATAGCTTTGGTGCCTGTCCTGGATCTTGCTCTGTAGACCAGGCTGGCCTCAAACTCATAGAGATCCACCTGGCTCTGCCTCCTGAGTGCTAGGATTAAAGGTGTGCACCACGACAGCCTGGCATGGGGATTTTATTTCGATGTGAACTTTGATGAGGACATTTAAGCCATAACAGTTACTATTCTCTTTCTCACTTCCTGCCAGTTATCCAGTGGCATGGGTTTTGTTTTCTTTGACCTTGATAGTGAGTTCCAGAGCTATGCTTTCCAATACAGTAGACCCTAGCTGAATGTGGCTATCTAAATCGAAATAAAATGAAACTTAAGTAGAAATTTTAAAATTGATTTCCATAGCCGTACTAGCCACACTTCAAATGCTTAACAACTAGTGGGATTGTGGGTTGCCTACCATCTCAGCCGGTGTACAAGGAAAGCATTTCCAGTATTGTAGGAGATTCTCCTGTACAGTGGTGTGTGAATACCTGCTTGTCAGGCACATTGAAGAAGGGAGAAAGGATGAGAGACAGGGAGTGTGGGAGAAAAAGAAGAGGGGAAGGCATGTTAGAGTGGGAAATCTGGTGTGTGTGTGTGTGTGTGTGTGTGTGTGTGTGTGTGTGTGTGTGTGTGTATGCCACAGGAGAACCTCAGATGTCATTTCTGAAGTGCTATCCACCTCTCTCTCTCTCTCTCTCTCTCTCTCTCTCTCTCTCTCTCTCTCTCTCTCAACAAGTTCTCTCATTTGCATGGAACTTACTAGGTAAGCTAGTTGGCCCAGGGTCCCTCTCATACCACCCCTGTAGTACTGAGAGTGCAAGATCATGCCCCCATTTCTAGCTCATGTGGATTCTGAGGGATCAAACCCAGGTAACCATGGTTCTGTAGTGTGGTGGTTTGAAAGAAAATGGTCCCCAAAGTGAGTGGCACTCTTAGGAGGTGTGGCTTTGTTGGAGTAGGCGTGGCCTTTTTGGAGGAAGTGTGTCACTGTGGGGGAAAGGCTTTGAAGTGTTTCCATAGCCGTACTAGCCACACTTCAAATGCTCACACTTTGCTCAGTGTAATATATAGAGGGGTTCTTGTTGCCTACTCGTTAAGATGTAACTAGTACCACTTCCTCCTGCACGCCACCATGCTCCCCACCATGATGATAATGGACTAGACTTCTGAAACTGTAAGCAAGCCACCCCAATTAAATGTTTTCCTTTTAAGAGTCATGGTGTCTCTTCACAGCAATAGAAGTCCTAATGAAGACACACAGCAAACACTATACTGTCTGAGCTATTTCCTCAGCCCAGGAAGCCTGTGTTCTCATACCACTCATGTGAACCCTCTGTGTTCCCTTGAATGGGTTTTTTCTTTTTCTTATCTCTGCCAGAAGAGAGACACTAGAGTAGGAGGCTTTGGGAATTTCTTCTAGGTTTAATTTCTTTTAATATTTTCAAAGTATTTTTTTGCTTTATATGTAGATTTTTTTTCCATTCTTTAGGGCTTCTGTATAATGTAGTATTGGACTATATTTGGATATCAAATGCTGAGATCAAAGGCTGCAAACTGAGAACAATTTTCTTCCAGCAAAAATAAATTTAGTTGTAGGGATTTGTATCAGTTACTTTTCTACTGCTGTCTCAAAACCCATGACCAAGGCAACTTAGAAAAGCAAGTGTTTAATTGGGCTTACAGCTTCAGAGGATTGGAGTCTATCATGGCAGAACAAAGGCATGGCTGCTGGGACAGTTGAGAACTCACCTTTGAATCCACATATAGGAGGCAGAGAGCAGAGAGAGAGAGAGAGACAGACAGACAGACAGACAGACAGAGACAGAGACACAGAGAGAGACAGAGATACCCAGAGAGAAAGAGAATGGCAAGAGTGTTTTGAAACTTCAAAGCCTTCCCCGAGTGACACAGTTCCTCTAATAAGGCCACACCTCTTAATCCTTACCAAACAATTCCACCAACGGGAGGCCAAATATTCAAAGATATGAGCCTATAGATACCATTCTCATTCAAACCACCACAGGTCTAAACAATGTATGGGCCAATTTCCTTTACTTAGTATCAAAGCAGAGGACTCACAAAGGGCACAGCACTCACCCTGATTGTTTCACCACTTTATAAATTGCTCACAGAGGTGAGAGGAAAGAATGACAAAATCAATATAATCCTATTAAAAATAGTTTATTGTACATGCATTCTAGACGGCGATCTAGTATTTGGTCCTTAGTTCATTCATTATTATTCATTTATTCATTCAAACACCTCAGTGTTTACTACATCCCAGGTAGCATATTAGATTCTGAGGAGGCAGCAGCAAACAAATGCTTGTTCTGTTCATCTCAGTAAGGAGATATAGCAGGTATTAAACAGATAAATTCAGAAATAGCTGTTCACACTGGTAGTTAAGGCTGTAGGGGTGACACCCCAAAGACTTCAGGAACACATGATGCAATAATTACCTGATCTTGTCTGAGCAGTGGGGAAGGTGTCTGAAGAATGGTTTCCCTGTCTCATTCAAGTTCCTAAGGAAAGTCATCAGCAGGAATAAGAGCAGACGTGTCTATTAGTCACCTTTCTTCTTTTTGGGACAAAGTAACTGACAAAGAGCATCTTAAAGAATAGCTTGTTTTGGCTCACAGTTCAAGGGAACAGTTCATCATAGCAGCAAGAGCTGGAGACAGCTAGTCACAGTGCATCTATAGGAAGTAGAAAACATTGAGTAATTGGTACTCAGCTTGCTTTTTCATTTTTATGAAGGTCAGGACCCCAATCCATACCTGTGTTGCCCATGAGTAGAGTAGGTTTCCTACCTCAAAGAACCTAATCTAGGTAATCCCCCCAAGGTGCTCTCAGATACATGTCTCCTTGGTGATTCCAGATGCTGTCAAGTTGACAGCATTAACCATCACAACATGTTTATAACAGGGAAGTGTTGCAGTATAGAGGGTCCAGCTCAAGCAGATCTTTGTCAATCATAGTCATGAAATTTGGACGTTCATTAAAACTCAGTGGTAAGTCTTTGAAAAATTTTAAACTATCAAGAGCAACATGGTCATCATAGGTATCGGACACATTCCAGTTACATACAAAATGAAGAAGCTGTGCATAGAAGATGTACATTCTCAGGTAAGTGGACTGACTCAGTAGGAAGGTACTGTTATGGGTTGGATAAAGATGATGCCTGTACCTTGAGTGATGGTGTTTGAAGGAAGAAGAAAACAATGCATAATCTGAAACAAAGCTGGGAAGCAGAATTAATAGATAGGAGCAACCAGATGTAGAAATTCATTGAAAGGGATGCGGCAATTATTTCAGGCACAAATCAATAAGTGAGTGAGTTATATATTTAATCTTAGAGGGACTGGGGGAGATTTGATTTCAGATCAACTGGAAATCTGAGGGATTTTTTTTAAGTAGCCCTAACACTTCTTTTGCACGTGTCTGCAAATGGTATACATGTGTTTACATGTTCACATGTGTGGAGTTATTTGTGCAGGTGCTTGTGCACATGGATGTGTGTGCATACGAAGACTTGAGACAAACGTTGGGTATATTCCTTGATTACTTTCCACCTTACACACTGAGGGAGGCTCTCTTCAAAATGCAGTGTGGTCAGCTAGCTTGTTCTGGGGATTCGCCTTCTCCACCTTCTGAGTTCTAGAATTACAGGGATCCACTTTGTTCACTTGGCATTTGTATGGGTTGTGGGTATACAGCATTTTACCTTCTGAGTCATGACACCAGACCTGGATTTGAGGTTTTCACAAAGAAAAATACCATGTGATTGTTTTTAGTTTATCAAAGTAATAATTGTTACAATCCTTATGTGCTTATAGTTCATGTTCACCCCCTTGTAATGAAAAGAGAGACCTCCCCGCCCCAGTCTCTGCTTTACCAATACTTTACTTAGAGAAAAGGATGGGCAGCTGTTGTGATTCCAGAATTATCTGTGCCCTAGAAAGACAATAAAGAAATCAGGAGTTGAAGAACAAAGGAAATGACCTCATTCTTTCTTTATCTTCTGCCTACAAGACAGAGATGATAAGCAGTGTGCAGTCAGTTCTGCTTGATAAAGTAATTGCAGGGATAGGCTGCTGGAGTTGAAAAATGAGACTCCTACATGAAGGTTACCTTTTCATCAGTCCCCAGAACAATCCTGCCTCCATCTTCTTTTTCTTACAATTACTAAAATTTTGTCTTATGTATTCAGATCTGAATAGTAGACTCTCATTTTTTATAACAAGTAATTTGGCCTCACTAATACTATTTTATTACTGACAGTTTGTTTAATTTTAAAAACCTATTATTTTAGGT